AATTTTTTTTTTTTTTTTTGTCTAGAAAGACCCCTTTCCATCTCCTAGTTCATTCTCTTTATGTGTTGTTGTTTTGGTTGTGTTTCTGAGATCTGAGATCTTGGTTCACTTATGTTGCTCCTCTTGATTTTTCTTTTTTTCGTTTATTTATTTTTGGGGTTTTATAAACTTGTTTATTAGAATGTCTATAGATTGTTCAATTTATTATCATTTTTTTTCACTTGATGGATCCTATGCTTCTGCCACTTTCTTGATGCCCCCCCCCCCAACAAAAAATAATAAGAATAACGATAAAAGTCTACTTTTCATGGGAATTTTGTGCTTTCTAGTTGAAAATTGATGTGTTTGTTCTATTAATACTAATGCTTTTAGGGTTTGTGTGGAAACGAAACAATGCTTTTTGAAGTTCACAATTTTTATCAACCTAGTTTTAAATGACTAACAGTTACTACTTTTCAGGTTACATGTGGAGCAGAGCTTGCTGTGTTATTCGTGGAGACGCTTGTTAAAGGGAAAGTTCCTTGTGATGATAATACACTTGGTGAGTTCCTTTGACGTGCTTGGCTGTATTTCTTTTATAAGAGATATTGAGGGTGTTATTGGGATGGATATGAGGAGTTGCATAATTGTAATTACATAGGAAGTTCTCAACAAAAAAGTTATGTACAAAAATTACCGTTGGTTAGACTGTATCGTTAAATAGAGTGGGTTGTATGTTTGAAAGTTAACCGAATTTGGGATGACCCATTGTGAAACTTAGGAGGGAGATAGTTCTCTGAAAGGATATTGTATTGTAATTTCTCTTATTGCAATAGCCTTTCAGCGTTGTTCTCTTATGATCTGAATTCCATCGTTTTCCCATTGCAGTTTTAGTTGCTTGTTATTCAGTATTTGCATTCCAATTTTCAATTTTTAATTTGAGATTCAGTTGTTTTCAGATTCAGTCTTTTGAGAGGTTTTCTTTATATAGATTATTTGCCTATTTTGGGTTGCTTTTATTTCCTTTGTCCTCTACTGTTTTTGTCTCTCACTTGCAGAATTTGTATCTTTCAAGCATTAGTCTCTCTTACCATTTTATTAATGGAAAATTTTGTTTCTTGTTAAAAACAAAAGTTTCTTTTTGATAACTTCGTCATTTGTTTCTTCAGCTCTTTCTTAGGCAAGTCTATTTGAGGATTAAATTGATAACCCAATATGGAAGATATATATATATATATATATATATATATAGATACACACTACCTTTAGTTGTCTACTGTTGCTTATGAAGTTGTAATGCTCATCTTTTCACAATTATGACAAACATTATGTTAGGTCGTGTCAGGAAAATTTACAAGAATTTCCCTCAGATTCCTTTGCCTCAACAATTGGGGGAAGATGATGATGTGCAACAGCTTTCTGAAGCACTTGGTGCCGCTAAAACTCGTGTAGAAGGATGTTCTTCCTTTCTGAAAGCAGCTTTAAAGTGAGTCATTGTTCATTTTCTTCCCAGTAATTAGTCATATCTACATTGGGAATATGCAAAATAAAAAAGAAAAATGAGTATCTTATTTCAAAACTGCGACTGTTTGAACTATATCATACATTCATAGTGATTAAGTTAAATTTTTCTGTCTCATTCAATCAGTTATGAATAATCCTTGTGTACTAAAAAGGAGAACATGCTTTCTACAAATCCTTAAATATATCAGGTGGTCTATGGAGTTTGGATCGCATAGGAGTGGATCTCCAGAAATTCATATCATGCTTGCTACATATGTATATTCTGAGTCACCAGAAGTGGTAGGTTTGACCAGAGTATCACTCTTTTATCTACTTGTTCTTTGTTTTATAAGAATTTTTGTGCTCTATGAGTATGACGAGTACATTTAAATGCAAATGCAGGCTTAATGTTACTTCAGTCTCTTTAGGGATAGAATAGTTTGTTACTTCAGTGTCTAATTTCTATCATGTCAAAAAATTTAGAATTGTCGTATCTGACTTGTTAATAGAAACAAGATGTAGCATCTCGAGAATGATTGTTATTTGATTTTTTAGCTAGGCTCCAAAACCATTTTGATAATTTTCTTTGTAGCCTAGCATGACAAATTTTTCTTTGAGTATGTAATTTGGCAATGAGAAGTTGTACTGCTGCTGTAAGAATTTGCTGCCATTTCAACCACTCAATATGATGTTGAAACGTGATCTAGGAACATGAGTGATGAAACTGTTGTTGCTTGTCCACCTTGACTGGTTTAATAGTATCTTCCAGTATTCTACTTGTTGCAGGACATGACCAGAGTATCATATCATTTTGTTCGAGGAAATAATCCCGAGATGTTTGCTTCTATATTAGTGAATTTTGTGGGCAAGGTTATCAAATCTTTCTTTATCTCTCATTTTTCAAGGATCAGTATACAATTTTCATCAAGTCATATTTATTGTCGTGGTTGAAGTAAGGTTTTAGTCATGTGTTATGCTAATTGCTCCCTAAATAATTATGTTCCTAAAGCGTATTTCTTTTTCTTTACATAACTTGTTGCCCGTACACCTTTTACACCTTTTAATAGTCATTCAGTTGAAGTACTTGTACAGCCATTAATCTATATTTTCCAAAGATAGTTTAGTGTAATTTCTTATTTACTAATGACATGAAAGAATTTAAGGTTGATGAAGACCAAAATGTTGAGGTCGATTTAATGGAAATTTTGATGGAAACATTGATAAACATTGATAAAATATCAACGTTATTTTCGTAAAAAATAATAAAAATTACTCGTAACAATATGTTTAAATTAATAAGTAACTAATATTTATATTCATCTTACCAAAATTTTGTTAATATTTGCCACAACTTCGAGCATAACTCATTTAGTTGATGCATATATCTTCAACCAAAAAGTTAGTGGTTCGAAACCTCACTCTTACATGTTGAACTAAAAAAATATATTTTGTTAATATGTATTTTTTTATTTTGTCAATTGTACTGTAGAATGGAAATATTGACATTATCATATATTTAAACCTCGATTGTAAGTAGTGGGAGTACATGTTTTTGGTGTTCTCTATTTTCCGGAGTAAAAATGATCAAAATTATTTGATTTGTCTTGTGAGCTATAGTACTTTGCCTAGGTGATCATTTTGTTATCTGTTTTGTTGTTCTATTTCGTATAATTAACTGAGCCAGTGCATTTTTCCAACACTGCAGTGTTATCCAGGTGAAGATGATATGGCTATTGCACGGGCTGTTTTGATGTAAGATTATCAAAAGTCGTTTATACTTAAGACCACTTGAAAATTCTCGAATCATGGAAATTCTGAAGGGTTCAAGAATATAGGAGAAATCACGAATTAAAAATATGGACAAATATTTACACAGCAAATCTATTGAAAATTATGGAAATGTTATCATATGGATGTAGTGTATAGGGTGAAGAACTTGTGTCCCATGGGCTACATTATTATTTTTACAAGTTCAATGGCATTAAAATGGAAAATAATTTAAATTGTGGCTATAAATTATGACACTTGAACTACTGTTTCATAAAGCATGTATATAGTATGGACCTAGCAATGCAACAATGGAACATTGTTAAGAAGCCTCTGAGTGATGGTCCTTTTGCACATGTATTTTTTTCACTCCATTGGACGCTTAGAATTATATATCTGGAGGTGTTTGTTTGGTGAGGAATAAGCACTTGGATAGATACTTGAAGGTAGTTCAGGATGTTACTTATCTTCTTGCTTTCATATTGAAAGATTATAGAGGTTTTTTCTCTTCTTGAAAATGATAGTTTGCAATTGGTCTTTTACATGAGCTGCCATGAGTTGGTCTGGTGGTCAATAGGATTTTGTTAATAAAACAAGGCTTAGAGGAAATTAGGTTGAAGCCATGGTGGCCATGTAGAATTTCTCACTTATTTATTTATTATTATTGTTTTTTTTTTATTATTATTTTATTATTATTATTATTATTATTTTTATATAAGAAACAACTTTTCATTGATATATGAAAAGGAAGGAAAGCATTCAAGGTCACAAATTCCCAGTGGGAACGAAGAAAAAACAATACAAGAAGAAATAAGCCTAAAAAATACAAGAGAATAAAACAATGAAAAGTAACTAGCGATTGAAATAAAAATACAGCCAAAAATTTGCAATTAAGTGCTGCCACTCCAGCTGTAAGTGCAGAAACTTTTTCCGGAGGAAAGTAGAACAAAGACACTAGGGCTTGAAATTCAAGAAATTTAAAAAAGAAGCTTGAGAAAATGGAGCCAAGAATGTGTAACCATGAAAGACACATGGTCAAATGAGTTTTTTTCTTGAATAAAGTTTGAACATGTGGCAACAAAATGGTCTTTAATAACCTTGACTGTTGAGAAAATCCCATGATTAAAGTTTCTCATGCTAGAACGGTCTAATGTTGTAATATCGCCATAACGGAGGGGAAAATTTCTAATAACAAATATTCCCCTCTACTTTATCAAATAAGGAGACTAATCGTTTGGGAGAAATTTCTTAGCAAACCACCAAAGTATTGCCCTATAGCTTCGAGAAAAAGAACCTTTCCAGTAGCAAAGGTACATTATGAAATCCGTCCTCTGTAGCTATTGTTGAATCGATGCTCAATTTTCAAATTAAGATTACCAATAAGCATCCACTTATCATCAAAACTTATTCCCAATAAACAATCATCAATCTTTACCAAAACCTTGTCATCTATGAATGGATTTAATAAAATTCTGGACTGGAAATAATATTCTGAGGTGATTTGCACCTCTTTCCTGACCAAGCATCCTAGAAACCGCCCATAGGGAATTGAGATTCATATCCACTATTTCCTTCTCTTTCCTTCCCTAAAAGGAAGAAATTACAGGGGGCACTGCTTTCAAAAAGTCCAGACTTTGAATGTGGCATGGATTCTGTTTAGTCGCATTTGCTTGACTTCTGGAGGATAACTTGCTTTTCACCGATTCTTCCTGTAACGTTGCTGCTTTCTTAGATTGATGAGAAAATTCAGACACTAAAAACTTCCATCTCCAAGAGTTTTAAGATAAAATCTCTTACCATTTTCCAAAATACAAGCCATCCTTTCTTGTCAAAACCAGTAGGAATATGTACAAGCTTTCTTCCCCTCGAGGAAGGCTAAACAGTACATTCAAAGTGACAACCATTGAATGAACAAAATCTAGACAGCCAGATGGTCCCAAAAAATGAGTAAGCTGGCATAAGAGGAAGGTTGAAAGGATAATCTTCTTGTTTGTTCACATTTTCCATGAAAAACTCAACATTTTCACACCAATGTGGAAATCAATATTACGTTTGCAATAACTCATTATTGCCATTGAACCAAAAAATGCAAATCAATCGACTTTGAATAATGAAATCTTGATAGGAAAAGTCCTTGAGAATATCAGACTAGGAGAGCTGACGGGTGGAAGGTTGAACTGAGAAAATGCAGGCAACAGTAAGAGGGTAGGCGTGGTTGTGGTCAACGGTGAGGTGGTATGGGGCGGAGGAGGAAGAGGGGTTGCGATAAAAGAGAAGAAGAATAGGAAGTAAAAAAGAAGAAAAATGGACAAATGGACAAAGGCAGTGAATTTTATGAAATCTTCAGGGAGTGGGTGAGGAAGAATGGACAGAAACAACGCCAGAGGCTTGAATTGGGTTAAGAGGGTTGAGGTTGGGGGTCAGGGAGGGGGAGTGATTATGGTTTAGGAAAAGGTGTGGAGGCGGCCTGAATAGGGTTTAAGAAAAGGATCAGAGGCAATGCAAGAACGGATGGGGAAGGTGTGACGGTCGGAGGCAATTCTAGTGCTATGAGGTGTAGCGGTTTTCTTGAGCAAGCTGGATTTATGCCTGTGTAGTCACTTAGGATTTAATATCTTACGAGTTACCTTGACAACCAAATGCAATAAGGTCAAATGATTGTATTGTGATAATATTTGAGGTGCACGAAAGTTGCTCAGACACTCATGGGTATTAGGAGAAAAATCCTTTACATGACAATGCAAGGCTATTCTTGTGGGCTCAAGGATAATTCTCAATCTCATCCTGAATTCGAAAAATTAGAGATTTGGGTGGAGATCAAAAGTAAAATATTCTTGTAGGATCAGGATTTTGGAGGGGCATCATCTTAATTGAGCATGTCATTTGAAGTCATTTTACGTCTTTGAGCTTTTGTGTTGACTGCAATGTTTGTGCTTTGTTCTTTTCCCAATGGGCCTTCTCATTTGTTCCTCCTAACCTCTGAACAGTGTGTCCCTCGTGCTTGGAACTTTGAAAGTTTTCCTACAAAGATTAAATGGAAGTCCTTCATGTTGATAGACAAAAATCATAGAGGAATCGGAGTAAGAATTGTTGAGTTCAATAAAGTTAACATTTACATCATCTCCATCCAGCTACTTTTCTCTACTCTCAACCAAGAATTGTTCAAGAAGCTAAAAAACATTTTTTTTTTCTAGGATAGCAAGCGAGTAACTTTTGTCAAGTTGTCAAGCATGAAAACTGCATAGTCTTGTTATCTCTGTTTAAGAGAATAATATTGATTTGCCTTCTTTCTACAAGCTGCTTGTACCATGACTAGCTCAAAATTAGGGGTTGATTGTCGTTTAGAGGCGAATTTACAATAATTGTCTTAAAATTAAAGAATCTTTGACAAAGTTCCTTAGCTTCCTAGTACACCATTAACCCTTCACCCTTACAAGGCCATTTTAAGATATGAAAATAGAGACCAGCTTGCATGTTCGCAAAAAGGTTGGAGATCGAGTTGATGTATTTGATCTTCTTTCTGAATTTTGAAATGTGAGCAAACACTTTTAACCAGTTGAGATGCCTCCTTATTGAAATTGGATAACAGTTAGGAAAATCCATCTTTTTCTGTGGAACTTGGAGATTTCCAACATTATTCCATCCTCTATATGCAGCAGACATACCATCTTGGAGATATGTATGTGAGGTCAGGTGCTAGAACTTCAATTGAAAATTCTCAATAGGAGTCCAATCTGTTTGCTTGCAAGGGTTCGTGGATACCTGTCGATCATAAACATGGAATGAGGCCTTAGCAAGTGGGAAGGCAAGTAGGAAATCTTGAATGCTTGGCCATGCAATTGCCTTGTTTCTGCCTTTGGATTATAACCACCATTTCATTCACTTCATTTCAAACTTTCTGGGTAAGATGGGGCTGCGGGCACTGGAGGTTTATTCTTTTCCTGGAGCATCTCTTTGTGAGAGGTTGATTGGTTCCAATTCTGTCGGTGTGCTGCTCCTGGATAATCTAAAATAAGAGAGAAGAAAGAGAACCAACTTTGATTATTGTCTTCTGATGAGATGAGTACGCCAGCCTCCATTATGTAATAGTTTGCTGATCTCTGCAAAAAAAAGAAAAAAAAACCCATATTTGTTTACTAATTTTTCCAGCCAAGGGATGTAATCATATCAACAGATTTCACAGAAAAATTCTTTGTGAGAGCAGGGGTCTTTTGTAAGGGTGCTGAAAGATGAAGCAAGCCATTGGAAGGAGTTCCATGTAAGGGCAAGGGAATGGGAGGAGTTTCTGACTCGCTCAGTGATTTTTGCTCTGCTTTCTCATGAGAGTTCAAAAGCAATGGTGAAGGATTTACAATCAATAGAAACGGGTGGAGTAGTTCCAAGGCGTTTGTAAAGTGGCGACAGCCAATCACTGGAAATGGTGGTCAAAAGTTGAGGCAATGTAAAGGTGGTTAAGCATGGGAGAAGGGAGAGGAAAGAGCATAGCGATATTTGGTTTGAGTGCGTGGACAACTTTTGAATGATAATTTATCACTATATTCATTGATATACTTGATTGAAATTCAGATATTGATGTTGAAATCAATATTTAAACTGTTAGTTTGGACGGATACAATTAATGATATAGCTATCTTATTAGTTTTAATGGCCTCCAACTTCAGTCAATTGAAATTTTTGTACATTCAATGTGAGAGTGCAGAGTTGTGTGGATATACTAGCTTCATCTCTGTTAATGCATCTATATGGAATTTATTTCAAATTTATATGGTTATAAAACGAGTGAAATGCATTTGTTTTTATGTAGGTACTTGTCTCTTGGTAATCTAAGGGATGCTAATCGTTTAATTGATGAGTTAAAGAAGCACGAAGAACGTGACGAACTTGAGTTCCCTGATTCAGAATTGATTGAGTTTATCATATATCTATTGCTGACGTAAGTCCATTTACTTCGTTTTGAATAAACTAGCCAACAATATATCTACTTCAGCAGATGTAAAGCATCGAGTGTGAACCATGATGGTAATAAAATCAATTTAGTGAGAAAAGATTAGTTCTTTCTTTGTTTCTTTCTTTTTTTGGTCATTGTCTTAGAACCGTCAAGTAGTGTTGTTACATTTAGTCTTGCTTGCTGGTTAAATTTTTAGTGTGACTTCTTCTGGATTCTTTCTATGAGGGGTTATGCTTTATGAGCGAACTTAAAATATGGCTTTGCAGGTTGCAAAGAGATGCTTTGCCTCTTTTCAATATGCTGAGGGCGAATTACAAGCCAAGTATTGAGAGAGAACCTGCCCTAAATGAGGTGCAACTCCTGCATTTGTTTGAGATGAAGTTGTGGAAAGTTAGTTGGACTTAAATAATCTGAGTCTAACTTTAGCATTTTGCTTCAGTTTCTTGATGAAATTGCAGAGAAGTTCTATGGAGTACGGCGCAGAAATCCCTTGCAAGGGATCTTCGGAGATTTCTTGAAGGTGATTTTTAGTGCCTCATAAACTTTGTTCCACTAGATGCTTGACTTTGGTATATTGACACATTTAATTTATCTACATCAAAATTGAACTATAGTGAGATTTGAACCTTAAAGTGTCTGTATCAATGAAAAAATTATTTGTTTTATTTACGAAAAGGAAAAGAATCTGACCATATAGATTGTGCAGATGATGGGCTGATTGATGAACGGCGGATAGTGAGGTGGTACCAGTCAGCTTCCTGCTACTGTTGTTGACTTGGGCAGTTTATTGGAGAAGCACATGTTTTGGACTTGTATCTAAGTACACTTATTGCTGCGTAAGTGACCTTTTTTTTCCCTTAAACATTACAGATATATCTCTCTCGTGGAGCAGGTAATTTGGTTTGGCTGGATTTTGGGAGTAATTTCTTACGGCTTGAGTTTATTTCTAGAAACAACGTTTTGGATTATATTCATATTATATACTAATAAACGTGAGAATTTTGGTCATATTTATATATTTTCAGTGTACTCACGTGTTCGTAATTATAATTGGGTCAAAAGTTCATTTTATCCTTAAAGTCCCTCTGGATCGAGTGAGTGGGATTCTATTGTTCAAGTCTCAAAATCAACGCATAAGGGAACTTATTTACTTTCTCTATATCGAAAAGATTAAATTTGAAACCATGTTTCCATCTCCCAATTTGGTAAAGTTTCCGAAATAGTACGCATATTAAATTGGCTACAAAAATCATTCTCACCCATGCAAATCAAAGAACAAACTCTTGTAAGTAAGAGTTCATAACTCACTCAAGCTGAAGATCGAGTTACATATGATACAAATTCATTGTATATGATACTCTTACTCACATTTTTCACATTTTTCATATGAACAATTTGCATCAAACCATTTGTAACAATTACAAAGTTGGTTGTATCAATGGTGTTATCAGAATAAGGCAGCAAACCTTATCTATAAACAAACACTTTAGGTTATTACTTAAATATGATCCTCCTCTATGCCAACCACGTATATATGATTACACTAATAACCTAACAATTTTCTAACAAGGGATAATATTAAATCGTAAATAAAATTCTATTGCCTGAACTACTCAACCTGATTAAAGAATCAGAGAGGAATATACTTCCTATTAAATCAATACAGAATATACTTCCTATTAAATCAATACTCCTTTACGAGATGGAATAGTAAGAAGAATCAACCTTTTCCTGTGCTTTGCTTCTTTCTTTCTTTACTTACCTATTTAGCTTATTCATTCGAGTTCATGTTCATTCCTTTTCCTATTCCATTGCCTGTCCCTGATGTGGGCGGATTGAACTGTGAGCAAAATCATTATTAAAAAAAAAATTAAATAAACAATTAGGAGGCCTTAGACATAAACTCCAACCACCCTCACAAGCAGAAACTCACTCTGGATTAAGAAGTCAATATGATCCTCCAATAAAATATTAATTAATGAATTTATAAATAGAAATTAAATATTTCGTGAATCCAATCTTATACAAATTCATTGTATAAGATGTACACACTAAGATGTTTCCATGTAAATGATTTGGACTAAATCATTTGTAACAATTACAAAATGGGTCGTATTAATACTATTACATGGATAATGCACCAAACTTTATCTATATATCCTAAACCCTTTAGGTTATTACTTGAACAAAATTCTTCTGTATGTCAACCATGTACCCTTCAAAATTATACTAATAACCTTAGATTTTTCATATCATAGATAATATTAAATTGTAAATAAAATAATCAAAATTTTATTAAAAATTAAATTATCAATTTGAAGCTTTTGACCATAAATCCCAACAATTTTGAATGCATGGAATAATATCAGAGGAATTAGATCGCATTACGTGCGCCTAGGTAGTGAACAACTTACGAAACTTAGGAACATCTGAATACAAAGTAAGTGAACTTACTATTGGAACACTTACGTATTAGGTTGGATGGAATTATCATAACACATAACTAGTGGCCATATCATTAATTTGTCATGATATTTGTTTGAATTATGTATAACACATAACTAGTGGCCATATCATTAATTTGTCATGATATTTGTTTGAATTATGTGATGCATGTACCTCCATATTTGCTTGATTATGATTAATAGTTGATACTGACTACATATAAGTTGTTCCAGACACATGATATAACATGTTAAATAAGCATGAGGGAAATAATAATATCCATGTAGTTTCTTAAGAAATTGAAGTCGTGATGATTATGGAAATATTAATGTGCATTATCTCATTGAACCAAGACATTAAATGCGAGACTTAATACATGTTGTATGCCTATATGATCATGTCCCTAAAATTATTCACGTTTCTTTATTTTTCATCGATTTTTGATAGCCGTGAGTATGCACTAGCTCATAATCAAGCCTAGAGGGTACGTTAATCCCACTTAATAAGTGCATGTACATGTATGTGATCTACGTGTAAAAAAATACTATACATTCGACCCTATCATAAAAGAAAGTAAAACTCAAAAAATACTTATAAAACCCAAGTATGTGATAGCTCATTAGTCATCCATTCATTAACACTTTTCAAGTAAATGCAAGGGACAAATGCACGATTGATAGCTTCTGCTATGAAGGCCATGGAATGAATACTTTAAGAAGTTTGTTTGTAGTTACTTTGACCCAATTTATAAACTTTGGGCTTCCACGTACAAAGTGAGCTATAATACTTGATTCTTTTTCGAAGTCTTGGAGCTAAAGATGCATTGTGGGTTGACCTATAGTGCGACATGTTAGATACATTGGGTCATATGGTTGGTATTTCCCCATTCTCTTTCCCAATCGAGGTATCCTCTCTTTCACTCAAGAGGGATTGATTTGATTATAAAACATTTGGAGCTTGAAGTGGAATTAGGGTACACTTTTGGGAGTGTTAAAAACTAATTTTTGATGTTAGTTTTCGGCTTTTATAATGAGTTTAAAATGTCATGACATTCATATTGTAACGGTCATATGTTTAAGAGGAAAAGTTGGGTGATTACAATACCTAAAATCCGAGTATAACTCAATTGATTGATACATATATTTCGATAAAAAAGATATATGCTTAAATTGGGAGTGCCATTTGAGAATTGCACTCGATTAAAACAAAGAAGGAAGAGAATAATTGTTGGTAATAACGTTACAGATTCAAAAACACTGAACTAAAAACAAAAATTCCTAAAATATTGTCATTCCTTATAAAAAATTCCTAACTCTCCAGGGCCCATGAAGGAGTTAGTGAGTTCTAAATCGTCGTGATTGCTAGTTCTTGAGATGGCAGAGATGAAGTGGACGGTGCAGATTCATTATGGTGGATGTTCATCGCCTGAAGGGCAGGAGGGCTGATGACTGTCATTTGCATGGCAACGTGATCAGAAAGATGGTTCCTCATTTCTCTATGCTCTTGACATAGCGCACACCAATGCATGCAGCAATGCACCAGACATGGATCGCATGGAGAGTTCTAAGAAGGTACACCAAATATTAGGGCTTACTAAAAACCTAACCATAATTTTGATAAATAACATCAAAATACCAACCCAAATAAATAATTTCAATCAATAGGTAGGTTCATTTTTAGAAGTGTCTTCTTTTGGGGCTCAGTAAGAACCGATGTGGGATCTCACAATCCACCCCGATTCGAGGCTCAGTGAGAACCGATGTGGGATCTCACAATCCACCCTAATTCATTTTTAGAAGTGTAACCTATCCTTATTCCAATATGGAATGAACTTATAATCATGGAATGGACTCGAACATGATCATCTGATTATAATTCATTTGTAGAAGTGTAACCAGGCCTATTCCAGTCTGACCTAGTATGGAATGAACTTATAATCATAGGTCCGCCTTGATATGGAATGAACTTATAATCATGGAATCAACTCGATCATAAGATCATAAGTTCAAAACCTAACCCTAACTCGTTCCCATTTTGGGCGGAACAGAAGCGTTCTCTTTCAACCTAACCCTAGCTCGTTCCCATTTTGGGGGAACAGAAGCTCTTTCCCATTCTAGGGGGAGCAGAAGCTCTTTCCCATTCAACCTAACCCTAGCTCCCTCTTTCAACCTAACCCTAGCTCTTTCCCATTTTAGGCTCTTTGGGGAGAGCAATAATCGCAATAATCGATGGTTCTCTTTCAACCTAACCCTAGCTCATTCCCATTTTAGGCTCTTTGGGGAGAGCAATAATCGCAATAATCGATGGTTCTCTTTCAACCTAACCCTAGCTCATTCCCATTTTAGGCTCTTTCGAGGGATCTCACAATCCACCCCTTCTCTTTCAACCTAACCTTAGCTCATTCCCATTTTAGGCTCTTTCAGGGGAGAGCAATAATCGAGGTGGGATCTCACAATCCATCCCTCTTCAAGGCCCACCTTCTCTTTCAACCTAACCCTAGCTCATTCCCATTCTAGGCTCTTTCAGGGGAGAGCAATAATCGATGTGGGATCTCACAATCCACCCCTCTTCAAGGCCCAGTGTCCTCGTCCAATTGATGCGGGACCCCAGTCCATGTGTCTAGCTCTAATACAATTTGTAACAGCCCAAGTCCATTGTTAGCTAATATTGTCTCTTTGGGTTTTCCTCTTCGGGCTTCCCCTCAAGATTTATAAAACGGTTAGCCAATATTGTCTCTTTGGGTTTTCCTCTTCGGGCTTCCCCTCAAGATTTATAAAACGGTTAGCCAATATTGTCCCTTTGGGTTTTCCTCTTCGGGCTTCCCCTCAAGATTTATAAAACGCGTGGAGAAGTTTCCACACACTCGTAAGGAATGTTTCGTTCTCCTCCCTAACTGATGTGGGATCTTATCGTTATTAGATACAATTGTTTTATTACAATAGATCGAGAAAGAATAATGAGAGAAATAAAAGGTTGTGTGTGTGACCTTAAGATGATATTTCTTCTGCAAGGACTGGCGAAACAAACCAGTATAGATACCACACATCCACCAAGCAAACAAGAGGCTTTCAGATATCAAAAAAGAAGTTTGGGGATCAATGCCATGTATAAGTGCCGTTGCCGCCGCCACTGCCATTCCTCCTTCCACACACATTGCATGGCAAACACATGCATTTTGCCACGGTATCTCTTCTTTCAGTGTCTCTACATTTTCCCCAAACAACACACATGGGCACAACATCCCTCTCCAGCCTGCACCAAATCAAAACCAATCATGACTCTACGGTCATGATATTGCCACTCTAAACCTAAACTCCAAATGGTAGCCAACGTGAGACTACCTCTCAACAATTTTAATAAAATAGTAGCTAAGAGTCTTACAACTCTGGGTATCTTGAAGACAACCACAAATGCCAGTGGTCCAATCTTCATCGGCTGGTGGCTGATAGCTTTCCGGTAGCGGCTGCCCACACTCCTCACATCTATGAACAATCAACTGTTTGTTGCAAGTCATTGTATATCAATATTCAACACACAACATCAACTGTTGATATATAGTAGAAGAAAACAAAGAAAAGGTGACCTGAGGCACTTGAATAGGCTGATTCAGCTCTCCAGGGGTGATATCCTCCAATGGCGCCTGATCTTTTGTCAATCTCACATACCTTGATTGCATATTACCGTCACCCATCTTTCTCCAAAATCAAAACAAACACTGTGCCAAATCAAAATCTTCAACCAATTTTTGTAACCCTATTATTATTTTGTTAATATTTTCATCCTATGAGGATAATGTGTGGATTAACACATCAAAATTGGCGTAGAGAACCCCTTTTGTGGAGGTGTATAAGTCATTGGTGTTGTGAAGTATAAGAAACTCCCAGGGTTTTGTTGGAAGTACAGAAGATTTTAGGGTTTTTATTACAATTTTGTAGAGAAAAGGGCGAGTTTTAAGAGCTAAGAATTGTTTAATGGGGATGGAAACTAATGCTTTCTTAAATCAAAGGCATGAACACCATGCTAAATATAGACTCTGGAATAAGAGAAATTTTGGAACATTAAACCATTGTTCCCTAATTTTAGATATTGACTATGCTAAGGGATTTGATGATTGGCCATGAGAGGCTTTCGGAATTCCAAAAAAAGCTTTGGGAAAATTTTTGAGAGGTTGAAGAAGGGAGCCAAGGGACAGGATAGGACTACACAAATGTAACAAATGCTGAGTAATTTGTAAGGTAAAAATATACACCAAATTTAAAAAGGATTATATTGGTTCAAGGGTATGATTTTGGATGCCCGTGTCCAAGTGTTGCATGTCATAGTCAAGTTGGGTCTGTAATGTCGTCAATAGAGATGCATGTCATAGTCAAGTTGGGTCTGTAATGCTGTCAATAGAGAAGTGAGTTGGCTGGTCTCCAATAGTATCTTGTATAGGTGGTTTTGCGACGGGTTGACTTTCAACAGGACTGCATTTCTGTCGAACATTTTGAGAAACGAACCTACTAACTCCGCTCTACTGTCTTCTTCTGTCATTTAACCAAGATTGATAATATTAACTACATTAGTAGATGTTGATCGTTGTTATTGGATTGGAATATGATGGATCTTTTAAATTGGATTAGTACGAATGATCTGTCACCAAACTTTTCCTTAAACTCCGATCATATGGTTGCTCACTCTGTTATTCAGGTACTACATATTAGTCTCCACTTGATCTTCTTTTTTTTCTTGGGGAGGTTTGTCATAGCCTACTCTTCCATGAATGTTAACAGGTTGAGCATCTTCTTGGACAACATTAGTGTAAGCTCTTGGTCATGTGTGAATGTGATGTTTGCCTCTTCATGCACTTCTTGTTCCTGCACTCCGCCACATAGTTTAGTATTTTTACAAGAGTAACAGTTGATCATACTCTTGTCCTTTTTGCAGGTTGACATCATAATGGGTTTATGAGATATTGTGACGACCTCTTCTATCGCTAGGTATGAAGCCACAACCAAAGCAATGCCCACGACCTTTGCTTTTCATGTTGTAGCGACTACATCCCTTTCCACTATTCATCGTCATTGCATTGCCCCTAATGACCTTGATTTTTTAAGTAATTAGGAGACTACCATGTGTCAAGATGAACTCTAAGTAAATCCCTGATTTTTAAGCCATGAGGAGTTACCTCATATAAACTTTAGGTTAGTCCTTAGTTTTTAAGCAATTGGAGGCTATCCTAACTCAAGATGAGCTCAAAGATAGCGCTGGATTTCTAAGCCATTATGATTCTACCTCATGTTAAGCTTTAGGATGGTCCTTGGTTTTAAAGCAATTAGGAGACTACACTAACCTAAGTGGAGCTCAAAGTTAGCAATTGATTTTTAAGCAATCATGTTGTTATCTCATGATAAGCTTTAAGCTAGTTCGAAATTTTTAAGTAATTAGGATACGTCCCTAAATTAAGATGAATTCCAGGTGAGCCCTTAATTTTTAAGTAATCAAGTCATCTCAAGAACATGTGCAAAGTAAGCTTAGGACACACCTAACCCTAAAGTACCCTAGCCTAAGAATGCCAAGATATAAAGAATGCTAAGAACAAATAACCAAGGTTATAAGACTAAGAAACCAAAGAAATCCATAAACCTCCCATAGTACAATATGTTCATGACTCAGACTGCATCACTTGCAATGTAAGAAACCTTATATGTTAGCTTTAGACTATGCCACTTCGAAAGTATGAAACATTGGACGTAGGTATTCAGACTATGGCGCTTGGAATGTATGAAGCCTTGGGCATACCGCTTAGAATGTAAGAAGTCTTGGTTGTACGTTTCAAACTGTATAGTAGAGAACACATGAAGTCTTTGACGTAAGTTAAGACTATGTCGTGTGAAACACACGAAGCCTTTGGCATAGGTTGTCAGGTTTATGTTTAATATCATAAATCTTAGGGAGAGTGTCTTAGGAACAAAACGAGAAACAAGAACAAGAATTAAGGGCAAGAACCAAGAACAATAACTAAGAACCAATAATAAAGATTAGGACATGAATCAAGATCCAAGTTCTCAAAACTTAAAACCTTGGAACTAAGCCCTTAGGCTCCCAAGATTAAGAATTTAGAACCCAAGACCAAGATCTTTGGGGAAAGATCGTGACAAGAACCCATAACTCAAGAACAGAACCTAAGGGCCTAAGCTTTCAAGTAAAAAAGAAGAACATGACAAGAAAGAGTGTGGTACCTTAGCACACTTAAGAACACGATTAAGAGACTATAAGTAGGCTACTCAGTGACTCTTTGTAGTCACTCAGATTCTCTTATATTTTTTAGGTGACAAAGAGTTAGTTGAAGATAGACACGGTAGAGCAGGTGTCATACAAAGTCATACCGTTTTCAACTGTTTCAATATTTTAATTATTTTGTTTACCATGTCCCATGTATTCAAACTTTAATTTGAATTTAGAATGTAGTTATGTTTTTGTTTTAAAACGTGAAAAATTTGATTCACGAAAAGATATGAATCCAACCCTTACGTCTTCCTTGCAACACAATTTCGAGGTTCCATGAAGAAATGGAGGGGAGAAAGTCATGGTAGAGAGTTGGAGAAACCGAGTATTAGGGCAAGGAACACACGTCCGTGAACTTCTTCCCCTATTTTGGGGAAGAAGAAGATGACGTGACTTATTCAATTGAACCGACTGGCAACACAAACCTAATTTAACCGTGGTTTTTTTTAAAATTAAACCCAATCAAACCGGTTCCAAAGAAACTAATGATATCAAAATAATATAGTTTATTTATAAAAAAAAAATAACTGAACTTTAGATAATTTATTGCATTGCTTCGTTAGAAATAAAAATCTTAAATTATGCAAATATACATATATAATTATTAAGCATGTGTGTGTCACGTGAAATGGAAAAAAAAAAAAAAAAAACCATTTTTTGCTTCAAGCGGAGAGATAAATGGACCAATGAAATAACTCCCGAACTGCTATACGTTGACTAGGTGTACAAACAGCGCGTGGATACCACGTGGCATTACCTTAAAGCTTGGTTTTCCTGTAACGTGTTCCTTCTGCCACCACATGTCATTTGGATATTTTAGGCAATATTGATTTCCACGTGTTTGACACGTGTACCTCACATTATAATATAATCTATTTTTTTTCCTTGTAATAAATATCTTTTCCTAGTCACCCACACAAATACTTAAAACTATTTAGATCTGAAACAATAACGGTACACACAAAATATCTTCTCATTCGAAGAGTTTAAATATGAAATTAAAACCCCATAAACTTCACCATAATATACCTATTATATAATACATATAAATACTTTCATATATTTTATTATTTTTAGTTCAATAACAAAAGCATATGAAAAATTGATATTAATTTCTCTCATTTATATAGAAGATAGAAGATAAGAATGTCAGGTTATCCAAACATAGAGGAAAACTTTTGAGGGGACTTTTAGTAGTCTTAAATGTGTCATATGTTCACTAGCCCTGGTTGGAGGCTAACGATTATCTCCATAATTAATACTCGTCTTTTTCAACATGTTTTATTCCATAGTGGCAAAATATATATATTTTTTTTTTTTGATCTAAAACACACTCCACTCCATTTCAAGTCCCATTAATATTTTCTCCAAACATTATTATTATTATTATTATTATTATTATTTATTATTATTTATTATTATTATTTATTATTAGGATTATTAGAATTCCAATTTCAAGCATTGAAACCGACCACCTTCTCTCTCTCCCTCTAATTTTCTCCACAACCGAAACACAACGCACAAAATGAGTCGGTGTGTTCCTAATTGGGACCTCTCCGCCTCCGCCGCTCCTCCCCCCTTCCACGCCTCCTCCGCCCCACACGACGTCGTTCCCACGTCGCTCTCTTTTTCTCCCTCTATTATTTTTTAATGATTTTTATTTTTATTTTTTTTTGGATTTTGGGTTTTTTTTTTTTTTTTTTT